GGCTTTCTTGAGAGGCCACTCCAGCGTCTGGGAGTGGGAAGACAGGGAGCTGGACAGTGGGGACACACTCACACCACTTCTCTTCCTCAACTGGAACACAAAGAGAGACCAGCAGTAACTCAGTACTGGGCTGGCAGGGAGCGCAGCCTCCCATCCTCCTGCTCGCCTGCACGTTAGATGCCATCTCACAGAGCTGTGGCTAATGGGCCCAGAGCCTGTCTTGCTTCATCATTGCTTAACTCCTCTCCACATCCAGTGGAGAGCCAAGTCTGGCCACTCAAAACCAAGTGCTTTCTGGAAGCAAACAGCCTCCAGGCTCTTTACAGCCTGGCCAAGAGGACAAGGAGGGAGGATGAGGCTCTTTCAGTTTAAAGCCATTGCCCCTTGTCCTATCACCATATACCCTTGTAAAAAGTCCCTCTCCAGCTTTCCTGTAGGCCCCTTTTAGGTACTGGAAGGCTGCAATAAGATCACCCTGGAGCCTTTTCTTCTCCAGGCTTAACAACCCCAACTCTCTCAGCCTGTCTCCATAGCAGAGGTGCTCCAGCCCTCGGATCATCTTTGTGGCCTCCTCTGGACCTGCTCCAGCAGGTCCGTGTCCTTCTTGTGTTGGGGACCCCAGAGCTGAACACAGTATTGCAGGTGGGGTCTCAGGAGAGCAGAGCAGAGGGGCAGAATCACCTCCCTCGTCCTGCTGCCCATGCTGGTTTGGGTGCATCCTCAGCATAGAATAGCCCCTTCCAGGACACTGGGACAATGAACACGCCTGCTGACACCGACTGCACCCACATGCACCCCTTCTCCGTGTCGGTCAGCCTGGCAGGTAAAGGAGAAGGTTCAGTGTGTGCCTGTGCTGACATCTACAGGACTGTGAGATGGATGTCGTGCGGAAGCGCTGAAGGAAGGAGATGTGCAGCTTCTGCAAGCAGCGCCCGGGATCTACAGGCTGAATGCACCTCCACAATTTGAGCATTTGCCATATGAACTCGTTAAAGAGGTGCACAAATCTGTCAAGGACTATGGACTTCACGCGTCATTCACTATGAATTTATTTCAGGCCATTGGGGATTCATACACTCTGACCCCCGCTGATTGGAAATCCGTGTTGCAATTGGTGATATCTGCTGCCCAGTATTCCGTATGGTTCACTGAATTAAGGGAGCTTGTGTCTATACAGGCTCTGGATAATATGACCAACAGAATTAATACTACAGGTCAGGCACAGGCAGGATTACTCCAGGTAGTTTTCCAACAACTGACTGAATTGGCTCTGAGAGCATTAAGACGTGTCCCTGATCTCAGGACAGGGGAGGCTTCCTCTGCTTCCATCCGGCAGGGAGCACAGGAACCTTAGGCACGCTTCCTTGGTCGGCTGCAAACGGCAGTTCAGAGACAAGTAGAAAATCCAGCTGCTGCAGATGTCTTGTTATTCCAGCCAGCAATTGTAAATGCTACTGCAGACTGCCGGTGAGCTATTGATCCTATTAGAAATTTGGGGAAAAACAATTCAGATTTAATAAAGGCGTGTCAGGATGTGGGCTCGGAACACTATAAGGCAGAAATATTGGCAGCTGCTTTGGCACAACAGATGGTTACGGCCCGAGCAGCTGTTAAGTGTTTCTCCTGCGGACAAGAAGGGCATATCAAAAAAGATGGTCCTAAAAATAGAAATCAAGGCAAAATGGGAGTTTCGACTCAACCCTGCCCACGTTGTTATAAGGGATATCACTGGATAAAACAATGCCGATCTAAGTTTGATACACAAGGCAATCCTATTTCGGGAAACGGGAAGACGGCTGCGCGACCTGGTGCCCCGAAAATTTACAACAGGGTCAATCAACCTACAATGCACCCTGTTTGGACACAGGGTCCAGGCGGGTTGAACAATCCGTCAGTGCCCCTGTATTTGGCCACAGCAGAATCAACAGTCATCACTGGCACGTCGGTGCTTTTAATTCCTACTGGTCCTATACCACAAGGATTATGTGCACTGCTGCTGGGACGATCATCCACCATGAAATCAGGATTGTTTGTACTCCCAGGAGTAATTGATTCTGATTATAAAGGGGAAATAAAAATCATGGCATGGACTCCTTCACCACCATGCGCTATTCCAGCGGGAGAAAGAATAGCACGATTGCTTTTGATGCCTCGAAGCACCACATCACCTCCATTATGTAGCATAGATAGAGCTATAGGAGCATTTGGTAGCACAGGCCAACCAAAAATTTTTTGGACACAGAAAGTCACAGCTGCAAAACCTGTTTTAACAGTAGTCATTAATGGGAAGGCTTTTTCTGGCCTAGTTGGCACAGGGGCTGATGTATCTAGTGAAAAAATCTGACGGGCTGCCCTCTTGGCCTCCGATACAAGCCCTGGCAACTGGGATTGGAGTAGGTGGAACACAGATCCCACAGCGGAGCGCACGGTCCTTATTAGTAGTAGGCCCAGGTAACAAACGAGCTATTTTGAAACCATATGTTCTTGATGTCCCAGGTACACTATGGGGTCGGGATATGTTGAATCAGTGGAATGTGAGACTAACCACACATTTTTAGCACAGGTCACTGATGTCCAGCCTCGACTCAAGCTGGCCTGGTTGACCGCAAGGCCGGTCTGGGTCGATCAGTGGCCATTAAAAGGTGAGCAGCTGGAGTGGGCTCAAAAATTAGTTGGTGAACAGCTCAAATTAGGACATATAGTCCCCTCCACTAGCCCATGGAACACTCCGATATTGGTTGTCCCAAAGAAATTAGGAAAATGGAGATTATTACAAGATTTAAGAGCTATTAATGCAATCACGTCACCGATTATAGATTGCGATTATGTCACTGGATTACAGATTGAGGACCATACCGCTCCACCATGGCTGTCATCCATCAGTATTACATGGTGGGGTCTTCCAGGTCTCTTTTGCAAATTATATATATATATAATGTGTCTTATTCCCCGTTCATGAGAAAACTTAGAGATTAACCTTGCTTTTTTGAACAGACAGGTGTTTCAAGTATACATGACAAAAAGTACCACTGAAACGAATTTAACATTATTGCATAATATCTCTGTAGTGATATGTGTTTCCTATGTGTTCTCATTAATCTCTGTTTTAATAGAATTTTAGGTTTTAGAAAATCCTATCCTTTTAAGTTGTGCTATGCAAGTTAAGATTTATCCTAGATTAATCCAAAAAATTTGCTCTCTGGCCTTAACTTGTACACGTAGATTCTCATTGCTGATGGAGGTTGTTGTTAATATCATTTCTAGTGTTGTTTCAGTTTCCTTGGACTGCAATACGAAGAGCACAAAAGGTAGAAGCACGCATCACGGTGGCTTTAGAAACCAATGGAGTTCCTATAAACAAAAAAGGTGGAATTGTGGACAGAGAAGAGGATTCTGAGCTCTGTGAAACGACAGGGTTCTCACGGCTGTTGTTCATCTCTGAGCCCTGCAATAATATCGAGATGTGCCAGAGATGAAGAAACGAGCAGCAAGGTCGGTATCAAGGCCGTGCACATCCCGTGAGAAGAACACCTGGCATAAACAGGGGGCCGTGTACATGCTTGGACTGCTGTGTAAGACTTAAAAATACAGGAATACATGATTCTACCATCGATTGGAGCCTGGAAAGGGGCTCTGTATGCTATAAATTTGGTAAAGGAAAAATAAACTTGGATTCGATCCCTAGCATCCTGCAGGGTCCGTGTGCTCACTACGCTACACACAACCACGCCGCTGGAGTCGGAAAACATCCCCATAATGAAAACCTTGACAGGGAGCTCCAGTAATTTATACCTCTGCAGACCAGTTCCTCCTGCCCACGTTCCAGATTGAACAAACCAGTAACTGCTGCCTGATTTCTAATTGCTCTCGATGACAAGACCAATGGAACCAGTCCGTGCTACAAACACAGCTTTGATGTAAAAAACACACCAGAAAGCTCAGCAGCAAAGCGTACCAACCTTTTGTAGGTTAGTACTGAGTTCCCTACTAAAGCATATCAGTGTGACCTAAATATTTAAGCCACAGGCAGCAATGCTTGAGGTGGAGGGATTGCAAGCCAAAGAGATTTTTGGTGCATTTTTATACCAACAAATATGGAGACAGCAGCTAACGAGGCAAAATGATGTCCTGAGCTTAGGCGTGCGTGTGGAGTTCCCTCTGCTCGACCTCCCTACAGACACCAGCCCCAGGCAAAGGCCCCGCCATCAAACGGGGCCTCCGCTGTCTGCAGAGGAGATGAGGCTGGACTGAGGGCATCGCTCAGGGGTCAGCAGGGTAGCCCCTGAGAGAGAACAAATCCTCCGTTGTGCAATGTGCACGCTGTTTACCCGGCCTTTTGACAGCATCCCTGGTGATACGGGCCCGATACATGCCTGGCAACGTGCACTCAGCCACAGCACATTGGATTCCCATCCTTTGACTTGCCTGGACAAACAGCATCTGAAAGTGAGAAAGTGCCGTGATTGTGCTTCCACAATCAAGTGCTTCCACAGCAGATAAAACGCCATGACAGCTCCTTCCCCTCTGGAGTCAGGGCAAAACTCGCCCGCAGCGCATAAAGAACTGTGTTTGCAATTCCTAATTAATTTCATTTCCTCCAGCGATTTCAGAGTACTGAAGCAAAGAGGCAGAAAAGGTAAAAGCTCTAAAATATCCACCAGTGGCAGTTCCCTGGCGTGTGCATGGGCACGCCTGGGACACCCGTGAGCAGAGAGGACTCTCCAGACAGCTTTGGTGTCTCACAAAGGTGCCAACGCACAACATTCCGCCCCATCACAACAGCTGGGTGAGCCCTGGAGCCCATGGAGGCACTTGTGGGCTTTGATTAAGCCCGTCAGGATCACACATCATGTCAAGCCCGTCAGGATCACACACGATGTCAAACACTGACACAGAAGAGGAGCCACTTTGTGAGCTGGGCTACAGGTTGGGTCATGCGTTAGGGAAGAGCAGTTTCTCCAAGGTGAAAGCAGCCACCTCCAACAAATACAAGGGCCCCTTAGCCATCAAGATGGTGGACCAGAAACAAGCACTCCTAGTCTTCACGGACAAGTTTCTACCCTGGGAGCTCTCCATCGTGTGCAAGATCCAGCACCCCAACATGGTGCGCATCTTCGAGGTCATCGAGGGCTGAGATGGGAAGGTCTACATCGCGCCCCCCAGCCGCGGCCCTGCAGCAGCTGGTGCAGCAGCTGGGGAAGCTGCCCTGCGTCCCCAAGGCCCGGGACATCTTTGTGCAGGTCATGGGGGCCATGCACTACCTGCATGACCACAACTTGGTGCGCCGGGACCTCAAGTGTAAGAACGTCCTGCTCACCACCAATGGCTGCCAGGCCAAACTCAGTGACTTTAGCTTTAGCAAGGAGGTCAACAGCTACCCTGAGCTGAGCACCACGTTCTGCGGGACAGCAGCCTACATGTCCCCCGAGGTGCTGATGGGCATCCAAGAAGTACAATATGTGTATACCACTATTTAGATCTCACAGTGATATTCACAGCCCAAATTCACAGCAGGATCTTTGCAGGCAACTGAGCAGCGTCACTGAGCCAAAAGTTTTGGAGTGGGCTTGAGATCCACACCTTAAGTTCCACTACATCTTTCAGATACTGATCCTTACCAACATTTGAAATCTCTGCCAAAAGATATTTGGTGAGAAAGAAACACCACTGGCCGTGGAGAACCTGAAATGGGAAAGAGAGAAAGATAGGAAGGAGAACTGCTTTGCTAACACCTGCTGTCCAGCTTCACCATAGAAATGTTACCCATTCCTCTGCATGCAACCCCAAAACCTACTACAGATCAGCAAGTCCTGTTTTCAAAGGGTTAATTAAAGGCGGGAGCTAGCCCCTGAGATGTGCTTTCATGAAACAATTCAAATCCCCTTTAAACAATCTCCAACCCAGCTTCCACCGAAGCTGAAGTCAAAGGGAAGGTTTCCAGTTGGGTGCTGCGTCAGCCTTCGCGGGGCTGGTGCCACGCAGGCAAACCCAGCGCAGCCCTGGCCCGTTGTGAGTGAACCAACCAGCGCACGTGGTTCTGCTGGAAGAGAAGGAAACATCTCTGGTAAAGCAAACATTTTGGGTCTACTAAAAGCAGCGGTTTAAGTAGAAGAGGATGTGGCAGCAGAGCCAGCCCAAGGCTTTTCAGCACGCGGGCTACAGTGAATTTTGCCACTCGTTAGAATGAAGATTTATTTTATTCTCCTCCTTGCAGCTGCAAAACAAAACTTCATAGCAGCAGCAGCAAAGTCCAAAGTAGGCAGAGTAAGGGATAGGAAGGGTGTCTTGGGGCCATCCATGGCTGGGGAGACAGGCTTCGGAAGGATCAGAAGGATGCTGGGGTTGGTTGGGAAAGAAGAAAAGTCAGAAGGATGCTGGGGTTGGTTGGGAAAGAAGAAGAGAAGTCATAAGGATGTGGGAAGCGAGGAGGTGGATTTTGGGGTAGTGAGGTTTTCAGCAAGGTTCAACTCTCCTTTTCCTACTTGCCTTCTAACCGCCCTGTCAGTCTCATCCCTCTCCAAAGCCACCACCTTCCTTTGGGAGAGCTCCCCAGGATATCCAGGTACCTTCTCATCTCCATCCCCTGCCTCGCTCCAGCCCTTGCTTACCTTCAGGCACCTCCCCACAACCTGGGAAGCAGAAACCTGCTGCCAGACCCGGTGCTACCATATTCCTTCTCCTTTCACTTTCTTTTAATTCTCTTTCGTGACAGACCAAGCTAAAATAAAATGAGTTGTTCTAAACCCCAGACCCTATTAATCTCTCTGGTCAGCTGCCCAAGCTGTGGCCTCTCCCCCTTTTCCTGTGAAAGGTTAACTGTCTCAGCCAAACCCAGGACATGGGGTCTTTTTGGTCAACAGTCATGAAGTACTGAGGCCTGAGCAGCAGACCTCGAACCAAAGTTGACCTCTAGATGAACACACCACCCCCCCAACCAAACGTTACATCATATTAGCATCCGATCATTAGTGAAATATGTATGATCATTAGCAGAAGATGTAGCTTAGATAAAACAAATCATTAGCAAAGATGAAATGTCAGGAGAATATATTTATCCTTCGTTTTTTCCTTGTTTAGAGGCAGGTTGTCACAGCCATGAAACTAGATGACCTCGCAGACCAAGGAACGCACCCGTTGTTGTGTAAGGAAGCCCGCAAGGACACACGTGAGCGGGAAGTCTCTTAACACCACAAAATCAGGACTCTTCTTACAGGAGGAATTGTAGGATGATCTAAGGAATCACTCTAAACAGGAGTAAGGCCCAAGAAATCCTGCCTGCCCTGCCCGTTATGGAACAAAACACAGGGTGATTTATTCAATAGTTGTGGTTTGCTCTGGCCGGCACGGTTTGAACTGTTTTCTGGACAGTGGAGAAATATGACAAATAGAAAGGGAGGCAGCTGTTGTCTAATAAGTTCCTGGGTGCACATGTGCATGACTGTGTGGTTCAGGTTTTCCGTAGCAGGTATTCTATTAACAAGCCAACGAACGTGCGACTGAGGAGCTAAGGATTATCATTGTATTTGAGCCAATAATGAGCATTTTGGTTTTTTGCTTGTAATTAATGAGAATATTGTTTGGGTTGTTTGGTGTCCCCCGGGGAGGTTGTTTGCTGGCTGTGCTCTGCTCGGCAGAGGGAGCAGCCAGCCAGCTGTGCAAATCTTGCTTCTCCTTTTTGCAAACTCCTTTTTGCTTCCACCCGCTGAGCCCTACCTTGTGCTCGTGGTGGAACTCCAACATCTCACCAGCCTTCGACCATGAACCGTTCAGCTGGAGATGCCAACATCCAAGCTAAAGCTGCGGTAAATGCTCAAGCTGTATTTTTAAATAAGATTTTAGTGGAAATGGCACACTTTTCCCTCTCTGGAGAAGATACTGATATGACAGTGCTCTGCAGAGTATTATGAAAAATGTTGCCAGTTACACTTCCAGTGGGTCAACACAGTACGTGGGGAATAAGCAAAGTGATCGTATGGAGGAGAAGTAGTCACGGATTTCTTAAGGGCTTGCCTGGTGGTGCTCAGTTCCCTCAGCTACTGTTTCCTTTAAAACTATTTGGTAGGACTTGGGAGCTCTCAGCATTTGGTGGGATCCGGCCCCTTCGTAAATACACTCCTGTGAGAGCACAAGGTGATCTGTGAACCCGTCAGCGCCCGTGCTGACTCTGATGCTGCTGTTATCCACCTTGGCTCGTTACTGGTGTTAAATTGGCTTGCTAACAGGCATTTAATTAGTTTCCTATTTGTTAGCAGGATTCACTTGTATCGTAAACAGCACTGTGAGCTGTGCTGCCCAGAAATGCTTCTTGATGTGAGGTAACGCGTGGTCACCAACCTGTCCTGCCATCCATCCATTCTCTGTGATGCTAATTACAGATCACATGGTCCAGGAGAAGGTCCTCTCCTGTGGCCAAGGGGCCTCTCATTTAAGAGGTGAGATCTTCCTGAGGCAGGGATGATCAATAGCAAAATCAGTATGCAGGACCTCTCCCAACAGCTCTCCTGTGACATTTAGGATTTTAGGTGCTACCTGAATATAATGAGTGCCCACCAGCTGAGAGAAAGAAATGACACCACATATGTCTTTCAGGGAATCTGTTGGTCGCTACCGTGGCTGAAAATAATGTGAGAAGGAAGGGAGGAGAACAGGCACCTCACCCACCCTTGCACAGCTCTTTAACTTCAAAGAGAAACACCTAACAACCATCCTCACCCCTGTGCTTTGTCTTTTTAGGTGCTTAGGTCATGTTGCCACCTGTAAGAGAAGTCAACAATAGCCAAAACGTAATTGGCAGCTGCAGGCATCGCTTGCTGTCCCACATTTTCAACAGCTCTAGAAAATACAGTTATTTAATGCCTTTGCAGTCAAAATCATTGACAAGTCTGTGCATCTGCGAGAGAAAGAACAGCTGTCACCTCCGAGCAGAATTTGGGGTTGGTGGGACCACAGGGTAACTTGGGTGGGTAAGGGGACCTCAGAGTCTCCCACTCCAGTGTCCTGCTCCAGGCAGGGTCAGCTCTGAGATGGGACCAGGCTGCTCAGGGCTTTGTCTGGTCAGCCCTTGGAAATCCCCAAGGACAGAGATCGCCCAGCCTCTCTAGGCAAGCTGGGCCCACGTTACATCCCGTGGTGCCGGTGCCTTCTCGACTGCTGAAAGTGGATGTTAAATGCACTGAAGAAATTTGGATCCCTTATTCAGAGCACAGAAAAGAAGCTCTAACCATCTGCTTTTGTAGTGTGTTCCCTTTCATTCATTTAGGAGATAAAATGTGTTTGATTTGGAAGCGGTTTTGGGAGAGGGAATTGAAATGTCTTTCCAAGCCATCAAATATTGTTGAATTTATTCGCGTCTCAAGACTGAGTCATGATCTGACCAGAAGACTGGAGGCCAGGGAAGTTCTGAACTGCAATGTAAAATGAAATCCTCTTGGCTCGAGCTAAGCCACTTAGTCTGCTCGCTATAACACGGGGAGATAATATTTACCACTTGGTGCTAGTGCAAGGATTAACGTCTGCTGGGTGCTGTGAAAATGAAAATCTTATTCACAGAAAGCTTCCTGTCTGCAAGGAAAACTACATGCACAAAGAGCCTCTGGATCCTGTTCTTTGACAAGAACCTCTTGTTAGCTTTTTTTTAAATTATGCTTAACACAATCAAATGGCTTAAGGCAGGAAAGCGTTTGCTCCCTTTTTCCCCCCTTATCTCTTCCAACAGACGAGTGTAGGCTGATGGACGACAGGAAGGGGAGAGGGGAAGGCCTTGAACTGAAGAAGGGTCAAGATGGGTCAAGATTGGTGTGGAGACCAATAACTCGGTGCAGTGTGGGGTTTGAGAAGGGAGAGGAGGATGGTGGGCAGCTGGATAAAAGGCTGCTGATTTTTTTTAGAAATTCAAGATTTTTAAAGCGGGGCTGCGGCTCCCTCAGGCAGGAATTCTGTGACAGGAGTGTTTTCCCACAATTCATGAATATACTTATCTGCAGAGTTTTGTAACGTGGAGACTTTTAAACAGCCAACTCCCAAAGCTTATCAGCCACATCGGCTATGACCTAAAATCTTAAAAGCAAATTTGGCTTAGCTGAAAAGGGAGCATTAACATCAACGTGCAGTGAATTATCTCCCTGCCTTTCATTCGCCTGAAATAAAGACTGTATTTCAGGCAAGACGATGCTGAATTTGGACAGAGGAGCAGTGGGAGGAAAACTGTGCTAAAAGTCTGGAAGACGTCTTTGAAATTAACACTCTTCTCAGATTAAATGGGGCAAAATTGCTTCAAGATGTTTAGAAAAGATGTTGAGAAAATACTCAACTCCCTGTTCTGTGCAGCATCGTTTGGAGAGTCCCTCTAATTGGTTTCAAGATGTGAGTTCAAAAACCTGAAAGAGAGAGTAAGCCCGTGGGGTGACGTGAGGCGTGACACCAGCCGAGGACAGGACTAGGGACTGTGTAACATATGGACTGTACAGAAGTCACAAATCAGTGTGTAAGTCCACAGGTTGGTTTAATAAAGTGGGTGTTCCCTGAAAAATCTTTTCTTGTCTGTCTTTAAACCATCGTGGCTTTAATAACACTATTACAGTTAAAAGGCAGATAAAGGGGAATGTTTGTATAACCCGAATTGGGTTTGTAGCTTTGTTTTAGAGCAATAAAACTGGTAATCAGGTATGTATTTGGCTACTAAGGACAGGAGGGTAAGAAAAACCAGGCAAATCCAAGTTGGTATTCTGCAGCCATCTGCAGGAACACTAATAAAACCTGACAAGTAACTGCTGAGCCTGTCACTGTTGTGGGCTTGATGCCTGTTAGTGAGGCAATAAGGAACAATTTAACATTCAGAAGAGTAATTACAGCTGTTCAGAACTGTGAGGCTTAGGTATGGGTGGTTCTGTGCAGAGCTGCTGTAGAGTTGGTGGCTGTTCTGGAGAGAGGAAGAGAGATTAACCCTGGGAGAAGGAGGTGTAGAGGCCCTGGAGCAGCGTGCGTGCAGGCAGCTTGGTTGTGCTGTTCAGCAGTTAGTGAATCTTTCTGGATTAGAGGGGAGGATGGCGTGGAACTTGCCCAAGATCTCTGCGGCAGTGGCGGCTGAGCCGGCATCAGTCCTGGAAGTGTTTAAGGCCAGGCTGGTTGAGGCTTTGAGCAACTTGATCTAGGGGAAGGTGTCCCTGCCTTCCAGGCAGGGTTGGAACTAGATGATCTTTAAGGTCCCTTCTCACCCAAACTATTCTATGATTCTGTCTCGGGTCCGCCCAGCTTTTCTCTGAGCAACACGCTTGGAAAGTATAGGAAGAATCAAAGGAAAAGAAACCCATCCTGAAACAATTGTCAGTGAAATCCTTCAGCCCTTATTTAAATGAGCGGTTGCACTAGAGTCAATAGGACAATCAGATCCATGTCTAATCAGACAGGTCATTGTAAGACGGTGCAGCAGCAGTGGAGCATCTTGGATGCTGGTTTTTCGTAAGAGATGATGATCTCTGCATGAAAGAAAACTGACGTAGCAAGTGATGTGGATTAATATCCAGCCCAAAGCCAGCTATGCCAAAAGGGATTTCAAATCTCCGAAAATCTTGCACCTTGACGTTACTTCTTTTCCAATAAGATGTGTGTGCTCTTACTGGCTTTCTAAAGGAAGAGACGTGTCTTTATGGATCCCATAAGTACTGGGAAAAGGAGAACGAGAGTTTTTGTTATTATTCCATAGTGGCACAGGTAGAAGGGTCTGGAAGCTGTATAATTATCACACTGGGGACAAATCTCATTTGTTATAGTAGGTGTTTTGGGAGGATGCATATTACTGTATTTTCCCACGTTATTCCATAACCTTGCTATCCTGTTTGCAGGTGAGGGAGGATATCAGAGATTTTTATCTTCTGAAGCAGAGCCAAAGTGGGGGGAAATGAGATGACTGGTTCAGTGGATTAAATGTTAGAACATATCTCTTAATCTGGAAAGACCATGTACTTTATGCAGCAAACTTTGCACTTCATCTTCTATAAGCCACGACAACTGTGATGTCTGGAGTAGCGAACTGCTGCAGCCCAGAGCCGACCCGGAAAAAACCTTCCCTCATGGAAAATCAGGTGTCAAGCAAGAACCAGGCACAACGTCACACACATCTTCTGTTCTCTGGTCAATAAAAAAATGCTTTGTTAGGATACAAATGTGCTACACGGTTGGGATGGAGTAACTGCAATGTAATACCTAAACACAGACATTAAAGATTCCCAGCCCACAAAACACTAATCTAATATCCCTCCTCATCATCTGCAAAGATGAAAGCAGCTCTAGTCCAGTCTCCCTTACATAAAGAGAGCCCCTAGAGGAGCAAACCTTGTTTTTCCAATAACCAGAAACGAATTAAGTTACGTTCTCAATCAAGAAAGAATTTTGCTTTATAAAAGCAGATAATAACAGATTCAAAGACTTATTTAACAAAAAAACAACTCTCATCATTTGGCACAGTTGCTCCTTTAATTTGGTTTGTCATTCTTCCTCCTCGTGCAGAAAATGTGATCTTCCTCTCGTATCCTTGTTATTACACATCACCTCTTGTTCCTTTAAAGAGTCAAAAGTCTTAATTTAGAGCTGTTGATGGGAATTAGGGGTGTGATGTTCTCAATTCAAAGGTGAGTATCCTGAAAACACAGAGAGATCCTTAAGAGCAGCATGATCAGAGGAGAGATTTAAGCCTGTCTCTACCTCCTTGCCAAGTGCGGGTGCCAGGGCTCGCCTCAGGCAGCACGAGCGCCTGGGAAGCTGCTACAGGAGGAATAATTCACCTGGAGAATTTTCCCTACCTCTTTAATTTGCTGCCTCATGCCCTTGAGCAGGACTTTTACCAGTGATGCTCTTTGGCCCTCACATCTGCATTCTTCTAATCCAAATCAATTCTTCCCTTTCGGTCAGTCTTTGAAGGCATTTCTGTGCCAGCTGACAGACGGCGACTGTCCGATCCCTCCGAAGCAATCACGGGATGTTTGAACAGCTCACAAAGAAAGAGCAGAGCCTTACCAGAATTTACAAACGTAGCAAAGCTCTGAGGTACCACCAAGTTCAAAGGAGCTTTAGAGCCCACTGAGGAGCTGTAGTGGTCGAAAGTCTTCTGTGGGGCACAAGAAAGGGCCGATTTAGGCTCGCTGCTGCCCAGCTGCTAACCTGAGAGCCGTATCTCTCTGAAAGCACGGGGCAGGCCGTTCAGCTCTCGGGAGAGTACAGTTTGACCAGGTGCTGCAGCTCCGTGGCGTAGCCTGAGACCGGGCAGCGCTGGTGAGTTTTCACATAACGATACACGCAGCGGTAGCAAAACACAAAGCCGGAGGTGGACAGGGCTGTGGCATTGACACGAACTTTGCGGCACAGAGGGCACACGCTCTTCAGTTTGGGTAAGAGCACTGAGCCGGCCCCGTCATCGAGGTGCAAGGGGGGTGGAGGAGTTGGGAGCGCTGTCAGAGATTTGATCGTCTCTTGGTTTTCTGAGGAGTACCACCACTCCAGGAACTGGAGGAAGAAGACACTGACGGACAGCCCAGTGGACAGGGAGAAGGCAATGCCACCCAACGCTTTCCTCATTGCTGACTGCACTCGTGTTTTAATGCTGTAAAAGAGAGAAGATATGGAGAAATCATTACTACTGCACATTTGTCCAGCTGCAAACCAAGGCAAAAGGACTTGGGCAGTAAGTCAGTGCACGATACAGCTTGATAATGCTAAGGAAGTTGGACGACATATCCTGTGTTTGCAATGAGGCATCTGCTAGGATGTGGCTCTCAGATTCTTTGCATTTTAAGAAAACTTCAAGTCCTGTTTCATTCATAAGTCTAAACTGGAAGAGTTTGGATTGAGGGGACCTGGACCACAGAGCGTTTCAGTCACGGATCATCTTTTTACAGGACATTAAGCATAGTCATGACTAGCTGCTGCTCAGAAGAACCAAAGAGCTAAGTTTCACTCCTTTTAGCAACACTGCTGCCGTTTACTTCCCTTGTTAGAAAAGTGCAGCTGAAGACTGAACAGGATAAAGACTGGAGTGCCAAAAAAGATCTCCAAACATTGCAATTTTATTACCACAAAATCTCGTGAAGCTAATCCCTGCTACTTGTTCCCTCATTTACACTAACAACCTGCCCTTTTGGAGCACATTTGTTCAGACGTAAACTTCATCTTAAAGACTTTCTGGAGAACAACATATTTTTACTTGCACCATCACCTTTAAATCGACCCACTCACACAACCCCCTAGAGAGCAGCTGCTAAGCCGTGTTCTGACATACCTGTGTGTTGGACTTGAGGTGGCTCCAGCCAATTTCTTCTCCAGGGCCTGGATATCCTCTGCAGTCAGTCTGACCAGGCGAACGCCAGCCAGCCGCAGCATGGGCGAATGATGCTGAGCTTTCCCAAGGATATAGCACAGTTGCTGGACGAGAAACCAGCCCTCCCAGGTCATGTTTACAAAGGGGTAGGCAGCTAGAAAGGCTCTGTAAAAGCGCTTCCAGGACGATGATGGAGGGTGGATGGAGTACTCATCCTCTTCCCTCAGGCTAGACACCAGTTTCTCCAGCTTTCCTTTCAGGTA